AATTTATGGAAGTTGTTAGTGTCTGGTGTGTGGCGTGTGTCAGCCCTCAATCCACGTACATAAGCCAGCGCACACACGTGACGCGCCGCATTACCTCATACTTGGCGCAGTGAAGAGGCGTTGACCATGTTAGTCAAAGTAGGGTTTCGTGTAAGCCGAAAACGTTCGATTCCAAAACCGGATTGTCAGAATCACGCCTCGGTCGATTTGGTCGCTTTCGTGAAGGCATCGTTTCAGATAAATCGATAACTTCTGTTGCAATGCTTTCAACAACACACAGGCATTTGGAGAGTAACCTTCACATTGCATAAATTGGTTTCGATTTGCAAACGCAAAGCAACGGTGTTGAAACTGAGTCGATGAGAGTTGGCTGACTACATTTTTTAAAATCAGGAGCTAACAGCAGCAGGTTTGATCATGTGTCCGCAATTTGCACCGCCTTCGATTGTCATCTTCTCGCATGTTGCATATTTTGATACGTTCAGTGATTTAGGTAGAAGACTGCGACCAAGTGCTGTTGGTTGGAGAACAGTCAACTGTGCAGATATACTTACAAACACAAGTTCTTAGTACCGCGAGTGTGGGTTTCTCCATAACAAAGAGGCACTTTGACTTGTGATACCAACTTGGCTAATTGACTTCCCCTTCACGCTGATGGCTACCATTGTCCGGTTATCGTTTCCTTTCCCTACCTTAAAGATAGGCGTGTTTTAACTGAGTGATTTTGAGTAATAACTACGTTGATTTGGTGAGTGTACGCTTGAGATTTGCCTGAAAGATTGTTTAGCATTGGGTTGGTCAGTTGCAAGCTTCCCTTTCACCCACCGTCTCTCAATTTTAAAATCTAGCTCTCTTTTATATTTTCTGTCTTTTATATTTGCCATGTCATAAGTGGCACAAGTACACTATTCCACTCATTGGTTATCTCTTCAGCAATTGTGATCCGTCTTTAAGACTGCTGCATCACAACAAGCCCTCAAAAACGCATCTCCAATGTGGACAGTAAACATTGACGCATGCGGCAAAGAACTCTGACTGAGAAACCACAGGCGATGCGGCGGTATCCAATGACACAATCAAATCACAGATTACGTCGTTTTCTCGGTTCGGTCAGCTACTCAGTACGGCACATTTAAATGCCGCCAACACTTTGTCTCCACTTGTGGACTCGCCTGAAACGAATTGCAGAAAGGTCAGCGCCTTCTAAGGAGTCTGCAACTGCTTTTCAAACAGCTAACGATGCACAAGCAGACGTCACGGGAGACTGTGAGAACGAAGCAAAGTTTTTCTCCGCCAACAGATGCTTCTCACACTGCTTCTGCGTCAATCCTACAGCAAAAACGACATAGCCACTCTCAGCCATTAAGAGTCTTTCTTAAAAGTGGCATATCGCACGTGATTTGCTTAGAGCAGCGGGTGTTTGCTTGTTGCTGCTTGAAAATGGTAAGCATTTTGATATGCTTCATTCAGTAGCTGCTAAATTGAGAAAAACGAAGCCAAATCCAGTATTTCATTAAACATTCTATTTATTTACCAATGTGCTTACCTGCTTTGCTTGCTCCTTTGAACATTTCAACTTTATTTCTCGTATTTTTGCTTTTTAAAGTTGCGGCTTGAATAGAGCACGTGTTAAGTTTTTGACTGGTCATAAAGCATCCTTGCATGCAAATGTCGAAACAAAATATTTTTCATATGTGTTACCAGAAGGCATCGTTTCAGATAAGTTGACAGCTTCTGTAGCCGACGTGTTCGGGCATCCACGGGGCACCCATTTGACCAAATCGTTTTCGTGATGGAGTGCCTGCCGAAAGTAAGTTAGGTGAATTGGCTGAGTCCTGCCTATTGCTAGGCTCCTTGAAAGCAGTGCGCACAGAGCGCCGTACTTTCCTTTAGAGCTCTGCAATTGACCCTAAAGCAAAGGTTCTTTGTTTTGGAAACATCTAATTATTTACGAGGCATTATTATCTTAGCTGTCGACTTGTGTCAAAATTGTACCGGGTTTGATTTCTTGGTTCCGGGTGCATCACCTCCATTGACATTACGAACTAAGATGTCTGCATTTGCTTGATTAACAGCTCTTCGTAGTTATTAAGCCGATGGTATTGAAATCCGCTTAGGCGGCACCTGGAGCTGAAGTAGTGCATTGCTGGGACCAACCCTGAAGGCAAAAGTGACTGTTGGTGTATGTGATGCTTAGCAAACGGATGGCAGCTTGTGGCATTGGTGAATGTGCTGATTCATTAAATGCAGCAAACATGCTCCCCACAGTTACAATGTGCTTGATGTTGATTGGGCTTCGTAAACAGTGTGTGCTTATCACCACCTCTACTCAAATTGCGTGTCAGGTCAAAATTTTGCTGCAGCGTTGTTCCCTGTTCGCTAACGGAACACACTGAAACTGGTTCATTTTACCCACAGGAACAATGTTGTCGGGTCTAACGACATCACAAACAATGCACAAAATAGCCGGCAGTAGCCAGCACAGCTAACTATTCAAATCTGTCTTAGAAACAGATGCAAACAATCAGGGCTACCATTTAGAGACAGCCATGCTAATGTGTGCAGAGGGATTGTTGGTAGGGGTAAGATCGTAACAATGACCATAATCATCATCGTCATCATGAAGTGGAGTTGGTTGTGGTGGATTTTGAAGTGACCATCGAGTCAGGCGAGATCGCTCTGGGCCAGACGTGATTATGTTGGGTCCTACAGAGGTAAACTTGATTGTGTAAAATGCACGTACTTGCCTGAATAAACTACCATGATCGAGTGATATATTGCTCTAGAAATGCATTGCAAACTGGTTTCCATTGCAGACAAATGATTTAACTTTGAGCATATTATTTTGTAATAGGGTAAACTGAGTAGAGTGAATTGGACCAGGCTGGGTTAAATCAATTTATTGCTCATCGAGTTCCACGTCATCTTGAAAGCCGACCAGTTAAGACAAAGACAATGACTACGCATAAGCACTGATTATGTTTGCTCTGCACCGCACACTGCTTGTTATCCAACACGGTTCCAAATCTGCGTCCATCCCCATACATTCCTGGACTTATCATGGCTTCCTAGGGAATTCGTTGCGCCCCCAAGTGTTTTTAATCCTTTCTGATTTCTCTCGTCCTCGTCAATGACCAACAAGGAATCCTTTCTTGACTGCGTGTGTTTTGTCATGTTTTGGGTTGACCAGCATAGCAAGACACTCGTTCGTGCAATTTAGCGAACCGGATGCAGGGTTTAATCACGCACATGTCGAAGTTGTTAGACCTCTCCCACACTCGACATGTTTTCGACACATGTGAACTTGCGCCATTCGCTTTACCTGATGGCATGCTGCTTTTCCCATGCAGTACCTTCTGCCAAAAGCGTTCTTAAAATGTTCGTTTACAGTAGATTTTTTTCGAATTACCTTCCACCATCAGCACTGACAGTGGAGCGCAGGTTGAAGTAAACCTGTTGCATAATCACACGCGTCTGCTGGGAAGGAACCGCATTCAAACGACCGCAACCAGCCTCAATGAATTGGCATGGTGAGACGATCACACCGACAAATGAAATCCCAAGGTGACCAATGTCGTTGAACAGACGTGTAAATGGAACCTGTTTACTGGACTGACTGGGTCAATGACCCATCCCTATTTTCAATTGGTTACTGTTACCAATCCCCCAGCATCCGCTCACTCGTCCACACACAAAAACCACAATTTACTCGCCTGATACTAATAGACGGTTGTGTCCGCCGCCGTCGCCTCTCCTCTGCCTTGCATCAGAGTGTTAAGAGCCATGAACAGGATGTTTGTAAGGTGGTGCCATGCAATTTTGACAAATCTGGCAAATTTGTGTGCCATTGGTCTGCGGCGCAGCTACTATTTCAAGATTAAAATAGGCAAGTAAAATGTGATGAATGCGTGCTGGAGACAGCGCGTTGGACATGTCATCAAGAGTTACATCAACGTGGTGAATAGCGGTTGTGAAGTGTAAAACACAGTCCAAGTAGCACCTGGACTGGCGTGAGATATACCGATGAAATGCGTCATGGAATTCGTGAGTCGGGGGCTTATGATCCGTACACATGGGGAACTGGCGTCTTGTCAGGAGGTGACGAAATTGTTTCGTAGAATGATTAGTAGCCTGAAACTCTAGAAATATGCTGTGACGAGTCTGAGTTTGTTAATCTCTCAAGAGGAGAATCGTAATGGCTGAGAGTGGCTGTGTAGGGTTGAGG